AAAAAAAAAAAAAAAAAAAAAAAAAAAAAAAAAAAAAAAAGACAACAACAAGCTTGCCCTTCGGGGGGTCCAAGGCAGAGAAGATTAGCATTGCCCCTGCGCAAGGACGATAAACACATAAATCTAGAACAGGTCCAAATTAAAAACAACAACAACTAACTTCCTTGCATGACAAATAGAAGGCAAAGATCATTGTGTATCCATGTGAGCATGAGTGGGATATTCACAAAGGTCTTAATAGAAGACTTCGGTTCTGAAAGCACAAGTGGGATAATCACAAACTTTAAGATGGTCGAAATCAAAGACTGTTTCTGTGAGACATCTACGATGGACTGTCTCAATGGATGAGTTATGTCCTATGGACTGGATTGCAAATGCTACAGTCACGCCTGCTGTTATTGTACAAGCTGTGGCTGTAGTGTCTACTGTGAGAGCACCAGCTGTTGCTGTAGTGTCTACTGCAATTGCACCAGCTGTTGCTGTTCTTGTATCTCTTTGATTCGCCAGTCTACTATGGGATGTGCATAATGAGTCTTAAGCTAGGTGTCTACTGCCAGTCATGCAAAGCCTCGGCTCCAAAAACGTGACACACTCATGTGCAGGGCACTGCTGAAGGTGCTTCTCCGGTACTGATAGAAAAATGATCTTTTTTTTTTTTTTTTTCAAAGAACAATTCACCTGCGTCAACAGGTAGGAGTGATGGTAAGAGCATACACTCCTTCCTATCTTACAAATGGCTTCAATCTATTGGTGGGGAGCTACACCTGCTGGAAAGCGGGTCCAGCATCCCCTGAGATACATTGCAGATTGGAAAACACATCGCATGCTGGGAACCGGAACTCCTCAAGTGCCTCTTCCCCTGAAACCTTTCAGACCCTTTTCCCCCTTCTAAACTAGCTCTTGTGGATCTTCAATGGTTTGGAATAGGGGGGAGTGAATGAGTGTTAAGTTGGGCAGGTTTGCTGGTTTTGTTGGTTAGATCTGGCGGTCCGAGGGGGACTGAAGAGGCAATCATACCTTTAAGTATCATTCTATCATTCACAGGTACCAACTGAACCCATTTTTCAGCAGGTGATGCTCCCCCACCAATAGATGGGAGTGTTGTTGCCCTGAAAAAAGAAAAAAAAGAAAAAAAAAAGGTGCGAGATTGACATATATTCCTAGCACTTTTCCATGGCCTCTCAACTTCTGATCCCTTTGAAGCCCTTATATCTCTTGTTACCACTCCGTCTCATTCATATCCATACCCAGTCCTGGGTACCATATTCAGAAGGCGGGAAGGGATCTGGGAATTCTGAAAGGGGTTTTTGGGGAAAATGTTCCTAACCAGCCAGCTCAACGACAATGGCCAGAGCACCTCCCCAGCCTCCTCACGGCGGTGCTCCTCTTCCCGGTGGTGGTGGGGCCGATGGTGGAGGGGGTCGAGGGGGTGGATCAACAAATTGTGGACCACTCCCTCCGCCTTCTCTCGGTCATTGATGACCACCTACAGGATAATATGTGTTCCTCTCAGGAATGAATCTCCCACTGACCTGGCTTGTGATACGCAACCTCATGCCCTGTACATTGTCTCGTACCCGTGAGAGCACCGATCAGAGTAATGGGGGCGTTTCCGAGGATTTTGGGAGGTGAATTAAACCGCCTGGATGAAACCGGGGTCCTCACTTCAGTCCAAAGTATATCTTGGAAATGCACGAAATAAGACAAGGGCAATGTCCAGGTTATATTAGATCAAATTTAGAAGGAGAAGAGAAAGAACAAACCCAAATTCCCCCCTCCTCCAGAGATATTTCTGGGAAAGTCAGAAGGTCGTCGGCAGACAAAATGGAATCAATTCAAAAAGAAAATGAATTGGGTCAAAAACCTAGGTCACACTCAGCCCGCTCTTCCAAGAGGACCTCTTTTTTTTTTCTTTTTTTTTTTGAAAAATAAAGGGGCCCAGTGCCCAAGGCTGATATTATCAATAAGAAGATTGAGGCCGGGGTCCTCACAGTCTACCCGGAGTGGCCGAACCGAACAAGCTGAGAACTCTCAGCGTCCCTCATATGATGATGATGATGATGATGATGATGATGAACTTTTGTTGATTCTTGTGAGATAGTATTAATACCGATAATGATGATTATGATGATTATGATGATTATGATAATGATGATGATGATGATTAGTATGTAAAAAAAATAGAGAAGACTATGCTATATCAGTAATTCTGGCATCCTAATACAGGAACAACTCCTAGCCCTCCCTATTGTTGCATACCGTAATGGTGCAGACCAGAACAAGAACCGACCTCTCAATACAAAGTATAAGATAGCACAGCGGAAGACTTAGATACCAATGATCCGAACAATCAATATTGCAATGCAGCCCTGAACATACATCATCATCATCGTTACACGGTGTGAATGGGGTCTGGCGCTTCACACAGGAAGACTGCGCCAGCCCCTACCATACACAGACGAAGAAGAAGGGGGTAAGACGAAGAGGAGGGGAAGATGGGAATGTCGTCAACACCAAGTCTTCGCACAGGCCCAAATAGTCCCTCGTCAAAATGTCTGAATCCCAATGTCGAGTCTGGATCCAATGTCGTCAAGTCCCAAAGTCACAACTCTTTCTCTGTCTGTCGTAGTCTGAGAAGTCAGGTGGTGAGAGGGTGAGAAGAGATGGTGGACTTAGAAGAGGAAGAAGAAGAACTCTCTCTCTCTCTCTGCTGTCTCTTATACACATCTAGATGTGTATAAGAGACAGGTTACACGGTGTGAATGGGGTCTGGCGCTTCACACAGGAAGACTGCGCCAGCCCCTACCATACACAGACGAAGAAGAAGGGGGTAAGACGAAGAGGAGGGGAAGATGGGAATGTCGTCAACACCAAGTCTTCGCACAGGCCCAAATAGTCCCTCGTCAAAATGTCTGAATCCCAATGTCGAGTCTGGATCCAATGTCGTCAAGTCCCAAAGTCACAACTCTTTCTCTGTCTGTCGTAGTCCTGTCTCTTATACACATCTAGATGTGTATAAGAGACAGGGACTATCCTATGTACTACTCGGGTCTGCCTCCTGACTGCAGGCGAGCAGTCCAGGAGGCTGCTCTTGCCAATGCCGCAGGGAGGCAGGGGCTGCAGCTGCAGCTCCTGCAGCTCCTGCTCGAGCTGGCGTGGGGAACAGGCCAGAAATAGCCTGTTCCCGAAACCCTGCTTTCGTGCCTGAGTCTTAGGGTCGGTCGAAACGATGAGGGCCTGAAAATGGCCCTCCGTTTCAGGCTGAAAAGCCTCTGGGCCTGAAAGGCCCAGAAATAGGCTGAAAACGGAATAGGGCCTGCAGGCCCTCGTTTTTCAGTTTCAGGCTGAAACAACCGGCGCCTGTAAGCCCTATTTTCTAGGCTTTTAGGCTGAAAGTGCGGGACGGGCCCTGCAGGGCCCGTGTGGCTACGCAGTATGCCACTCCCCCCCCTCCTTGAAACACCGAGCTTACCTGCGAGGGCGAAGCTGTCTGTCCGAGGGAGGGACCAAAGTCCGGGTGGGAGGGGCAGGTCGTGGAGGTCCCTTAGCTAACCGTTGTCGCTCGTAGTGAGCGTAGATCAGCGGTGCGGATGCTTTCAAATCTGCTCCTGAAATCCACCGAGTGTCGTCGGGATCGCATGCTCTGAATGTAACTTTGTACTGTTGGGGCTTGCTGCCGTGCTTGCGATCCGAGATGATGCGGTCAACCTCCTGATGACCATCCATAGATGGAGGGTCCTGCGATCGTCGGCTCGGAAAGTCGCCGTTCTTAGCTGGCGTGTATGTTGCCAGCTTCGAGGCGTGAAAGACTGGATGGACCGTCATATGCTCGGGAATGTTGATCACGAATGAAGGGTCATCGGGCTCATCGCCCGCGGCTGATGTCACAGATCATGGTCCAAACCACTTGGGAAGCAGTTTGCGTGAAACATCTTGTTCCAGTGCAAACTCTTCCGCGGAGACCCAAACCAGATCACCGGCGCGGATGGGACATGGCACGCGACGCCTGTCGGCTTGCTGCTGCATGCGGACTTGAGCCTTTTGCATGTTCGCGCGAGCTTGAGTCAACAATTCCCTGTACTTCCGGACGGAAGCGGGAGAGCAAGCGGCATCAATGTCAGTTGGTCGAGGGAGGAGAAGGTCGGCGAAGATACGGCGTTTCCATCCACCGTGGTGCAACTCGAATGGAGTCAAACCGATTGCCGGGTGCACCGAAGTGTTGTAGGCGAACTCGATGTCGGGGAGGCGGTCAACCCAATCTTTCTGGTCCGGATGGATGAGCGTACGAAGCATCATTTGAGCGGTTTGATGTGCCCGCTCTGTTTGCCCGTCCGTTTGTGGATGTCGAGCCGAACGTGGTTTCATCTTCGTGCCAGACTCTTGCATGAGAGCAGTCCAAAATGTCGACATGAAGCGAGTGTCGCGGTCGCTGACTATGTCTTCTGGTACACTGTGGCCACAAATCCAACCGGTGTGCAGGAGTGTGCCAGCTCGGGAGCCGTGGAGTAGTACTTGCAAGGAAGGAAACGCATGTACTTACTCAATCGGTCCACAACCGTGAGGATGCAGTCGTGCCCGAGCCGGTCGCGAGGGAAGGAACCGGTGACGTCCATGGCAATGTAGAGACCAGGTTCCCGTGGGATGGGCATCGGACTTAACTCGCCATAGGGATTGCGGTTGCGGGGTTTGCTGCGTCGGCAAACTTCGCAAGAGTCGCAATACCGACTGACATCGGTAATGAGGTCAAGCCATCGGAATCGTTATCGAAGTCGTGCAATGGTGCGGTTGACTCCGAAATGGCTGGCGAGTCACGAGTCATGGTACTCCCCGAGAAGGCGAGTCTAAGGACGACGGTCTCGTGGGACACACAATAAGTCCTTGCCTCTCGAGTGGAGGAGCAAGTACTCGTCGGCAATGCGATAGTGGCTGGCCGGCGGGTGATCCGAAGATAGGTGTGCATATAGCGTGGCAAAGTCCGGATCAGACTCATATGCCCGGATGAAGTGTCGTTGGAGCTCCTAGTCGAATGCAAAGGCATGATGTGTCACGGCGCAAAGATCAGGTCTTCGCGAGAGTGCATCTGCTGCGCGATTTGAGAGGCCGGGAAGATGTTTCGGTGATCGTGCTGCTCACCGTATCCTGCGTCTTGTAGTAGGTCAATGGATTGTTATCCGTAACCCATGTGAACCTACGACGCCTAAGGAGGAAGTGCCGCCATTGCTTGAGAGTCATGACGAATGCGAGCAGCTCCTTCTTCCTTGCATCATCAAGCCAGTTGATGAGAGGCACTTTGTGGCTGGAATACTCCACAGGGTACCAGTCGCCCTCGTCGTGCTGTTCCAAGACTGCCCCAATGCCATAGCCGGAAGCGTCCGTAGTCACTCTCGTCAGCAGGGTGAGGTCATAAATGCTAAGGACAGGTGCCATGAGCATAGCCGTCTTAAGTGCTTGGAATGACCGGCGTGCGTCGTCATCGAAAACGAATCGCAGCTTTGGCGATTGTAATCTCGTCATAGGTGCAGCAATCCTCGAGTATCCGGTGATGAATCGCTGATAGTAGCCCGCCAATCCCATGAATGAACAAACGTTCGTGGTGTTGGTGGGCTCGGGCCATACTCGTAGGGCCTCGATCTTGTCCGCAAGCGGACGGATGCCTTGCGGCGTCACATAATGTCCCAAGTACTCCAGCTCCTGCCGCGCGAATTCGCACTTGTCGCGGTTGGCTTTGTACTTGGCTTGTCGTAGCCGCTCCAGAACAGTGCGCAGGTGTTCCACATGCTCCTCCAAACTCCGGCTGTACACCAGGATGTCGTCGAGTTAGATAAGTACGTATCCATCTACCATGTGTTGGAACTCTGTTGTCATAGCCGCTTGGAAAGTGGTCGGGGCATTCGTAAGGCCAAATGTCATAACCAACCATTCGAAATGCCCATATCGCGTCTTAAACGCGGTCTTGTAGCGATCCTCCTCGCGAATCTCGAGTTGGTGATATCTCGACTTGAGATCGAGCTTGGAGAAGAACTCCGCGCCGCCCAGTCGCTCGAGAAGGTCGTCGATGCGTGGGAGAGGGCCGGCGTTTCTGATCGTCTGCACGTTGAGCTTATGATAATCAATGCACAACCGCAAATCCTTGTTCTTCTTTCGGACGAAGAGAGCAGGAGCACCGTATGGCGATGAGCTAGGCCGAACCCAGCCTTTCTCCAGAAGGTCGTTGAGTTGTGCCCGAAGCACACTTAACTCTTCCTCGCTCATTCGGTAGATGCAACCACGTGGAGGTACGGTCCCGTCCTCGAGGATGATCTCGTGGCGAATGGGTCGATCCGGTACTACTCCGTGCGGGCCTTCGAACACGTCGCTGTAGGCGTCGAGAAGTTCGGTGATGCGTGGATCCGAAGAAGAGTCCGTCGATGAAGCGTCATGGGGCGGGAGGGCGTGGAGAAAACACACCCCTATCTCCTCGATGTCGTCTCTGATGATGGATGCTCGCATGCTTGCGGCGGAAACCACGTGACAACTGATTGAAGGGTGAGGAGGAGCTACCATGCATGAGACTAGTACTTCGTTCCGATCACGAACATGAACGGTGCAGCAGTAGAAGTTCACCGGGTGATCCTCGCTTCGCAGCCATGACATGCCCAAGATCATGTTGAATTTGGTGTCCAAAATGTCAAAGGACACCGCCTCACTTGCGTGAGGGGCAGAGTACACTGGGACGTCGTCAATGCACCGGTCGATTGACTTGTGCGTATGACCGTCCGCCAATGTGACTTGCGGGGGCTGGGACTTCCTTCGGACTCGTGGGCCCGGGCCGGCGCGTACCATGAAGTCCTGACTCATGTAGTTGCGAGATTGCAATCAGACTCAACTCTGGACTTGCTCACAACATGCACACTTGAGAACCGATGGCAAGACTGAACTCTTTCAACTAAAAAAAAAACAACAATGAACTTGTCTTAAACTCAATCTTAACAGCTGCACAACTTGCGGCTATGGCCGCCGAACACGGTCTCTAACACCAGCCTCACTCTCTCCCTCACTGTCTCATGCGTGCATGTACGAGGATCACCCTGAATGTCCCCACTCAGCACAACCTCATACACTCTGAACACTTGTCTTCACTAACAGCTGGGCGGCTATGGCCGTCGTCGTCTTTCTCCTGCTGACTATGGCCGCCGACATCTACCCCACTGGCCAGCTATGGCCGTTGTCTTCTTCACTGCCCACTTCGTCTCCAGGCACCTGCAGACCTCCATGCACAAGACACCAAGGCAGCTCTTCCGCATGGCTCACAGACGAATGAATGAATGGTTGGACGCTGCCTGTTTATTTATACTTCTTCGGAGGTACCCGGACCCTGCCTCCAGACCTGTGGGCCTGGGCCAAAACGTGTGGCCCAGGGAAGCT